GGTCTGGGTCCAGCACTCCCCCCCGCGGCACGGCGCCCCCCACCCCGGGTGCGACGCTGTCCGCGGGGAGGGCACGGCACCAGTTCACAGTCTTCTCGCAACGACTACTCGCACACCCGGCGCGGTCGGGGGAGGGCGGGGGAGACGGCGGAGACGGGCGCGACAGCGGCGACGACGCCGAGCTGCCGCCGCCAGCGCCGACGCCGATGCCAACGCCGACCCCAACGCCGACCCCAACGCCGACGCCGACCCCCGACACCGACGCCGACGACGACGACGACGATGATGGTGACGGAGGAGGCCAGGGCGGCCTCCATCGGGGCGAACCGCCGGAGGCACGAGCGCCGACCTAGACTCAGGCGCTCGCCCTGGACCCGGATCCGAGGCGGTCACCGACGACGGCGCGCATGGACAAGAGGCGGAGTTGCACTCCTCGTCGCCGCCACGTCCCCAGCTCGGGAGAGCCCTGGCCCCCGCGGCTGGACTTTCGGGGGCCCAGGGAAGGCGGGGACGGAAGCAGGGGGCAACCCGGCACCGACGCGCGCCCCGGAGGCCACTCGGCACCTCGGCCGGAAAGCGGAACCCCAGGAGCGCAATCGTGAGCGGCGGGGCCCAGCAGCGCAATCCCGTCGGCGCGGCGCGCGGCGCCCGTCCTTCAGCCCGCCGGGTCAGCGGCGGCAGCTGGCGACGGGGTCATCGCCGACGAAAAAGCCGTGCGCGAGCCCGGCGCCCGCCCCGGAGGCCCGGAGGCTCTCCGCGCCTCCCCAGCGGGGACGGACGCTGGCGGCCCCAGCACCACGGGCTGTTTCTGCGCCCATCCGCGAGGGGAGGCACCTCTGCCTGAACGGCGCGAGCTCCCGCCCCTCGTCAAAGACACATACCCCGCTTTGCCAGGCACCCCCGGAATACAGGGCGCAGGGCCAGGGGCAGGGGCGCCCTGGCGATGTCCCAGCGCGCGCCCTGCTCGACGTCCTCAAGTCGAAGGGGGCCTCGATGGCCCAGGTCAGGAGGACGCAGTCAGCAGGCGATGAACTTGGGGCGGCTTGGAACAGATTTGCGTTCTGCGCGGTGGCGGCACCTGCGACCCCAGCCAGCACGACACCAGTTTTCTCCGCTGCCTCCTCCGCCGTGCCCCGTCACCCCAGTGTTCCCACTTGCAGGATACAGCATCATCACTTTGCACGTAGACTGGCCACGCACTGTCCACCCCGATAGCGAGTGGCCCCCGTTGGCTTGCGGCCGCAGTTTTGAAGCCATGCCCCGTCGCCCCTGCGCTCGCAGTCACAGGAGACAGCCCCACCGCGCTGCCCCTAGACCAGCCACGCACTGTCCACCCCGACAGCGCGTGGCACCCGCAAGCCTTCGGCCATCGACACAGGTATCTGCGCCGATTAAACGACCCTGGACAGGCCCGGCGCTGCCCACCCCGGCAGCGCTTGTCATCCACAGCTGCAGCCAGGGCCACCCGCTGGCAGCTGCAGCGCTGGCGCTGGGCCTGTGGCCCCGTCGCCCCGCCTGCGGGGTCCGCCCCGCAGGCGGGGCTCCCCCGCCCCCTCCCCACCCTCCCCCCCGCTTGTTCTCCCTCCTCCCGCGCGCCGCCACGGCGCCAGGGCTGCCGCCTCCTGCAGCCACCACGCGTTCGGGATCCTGGGCCCGGTCTCGCCGCCGGCCCCCCGTCGCTGACCCAGCATGTTGCTGGATGCGGTCCAAACTGGATGCACCTTTATTCGCCGCACCTTGTACTGCACCTCCCACCTGGGCGGCGCGTGGCCCGCCGGCCCTGCACCTCCTGCTCTACGTCGGCAGCGTGCTGTCTCGTCTATTTGCAGTACCTGTACTGGGCCCCGCCCCCGCGAGTGCACCCGCGCTGAAGCCTGGCAGTTGCTGCTGTTCCCGCTGGCCGGGCTGGCCGCGCCAGCTCACACATGGATGTGGCCGTCCGTACTGAGTGGCCCTCGCCTCGTCCCCCGTTCTGCGGCCGCCCGTCCTGTTCCGTGTTCCCGCTCTTGCATGCTGGCCAATTCGTTACCATAGCGCCCCCGGTTAGTTCACTCCGCCAGCGTAGACGACCCCCGCCTAGCCGACGACGGATAAATCCGCTATGCTATGTTTTGTTGTGGTCTGTCGTGCTCATCGTCGCTATGCTGTGCTGTCAGGTTATGAAATGTTATGTGATCACTAATGCGTCACGATATTCAGGCGTAACGAAAGTTTCCTTGGAAACGCGGAAGACCTCCAGACGACCCAGACAGGATGCTTAGGCGGCTCCATGGTCCCAAGCTGGTTCCACGACGGCTTCGGACGGGCACGAAAATGACCTCGGGCCGACCCCAAAAAAGACCCCGCGGCACCTGCAGGATCCAGACGCAGCGTCGACATGGTTTGGGGGCGAATCCAAAATGGCCCAAGATGTGAGCGATGCCCTGGAGACCAGGCGCGGTGGCCCCCGAGCGACCCCGAGGTGGCCGGAGCATTCCGAGAGTGCAACACCATGATCTTAAAATGACCTGGATAAGATTTCAATATGACTTCAACATGGCGCGAACACGTCATACATTGGCGGGATTGGGTCCCACCGCGGGATTTATCCGGACCCCATTGTTTATGGGTGGGATTTATGGTTGGCTGGACTAAAACTATACTATTCAAGGGGGAAGTACTCGCCAAGGATCCCGCCGAGACCACGCAAGAGGGCTATCTTGCTAGCCTTCTAGGGGGGGAGGGGGCTTCAACGCATCCTGCCCCTCAACCCCACTGGGGGCCGTTGACAAGAGGGTTGCAACGTAGGTGAGCACACACTGTCATCGGGCCCAATTCAGAAAACCAAAAAAAAACTGTCGGAGCGGCGATGTATGACACGTGCGTCAAGGTGTGGTATGTCATGTTCGGCGATGTTATGTTATGATATATTGCGTGATGCATTAATATGGTATGCCATGTTCTGCTAGTCCCCAATCAAAGTTTGCTTCTGTGGGGGTCCCAGTAGATTCATAAGTGTAGGCGACCTACGTCGCCGATTTCGGTGGCCGGGCCCAGGTGCCCGGGTGCCCAGCATGCCCGGGTGCCAAGGGATGCCTGGGGGCGCCCGGGTGCCCAGTAGCATTGTAGCCCTCTAGCCTTACATGCGAATAGCCCTATAGCTCGAAGAACCTCATAGCCCTATAGCCCGATGGCCCTATAGCTTTATAGCCCTATATCCACATCGCCCTATAGTCCTACAGACCTATAGCCTTACAGCCCTATACACCTAAAGCCCTACAGCCCTATAGCCCAACAGCCCGATGGCCACCCAGCCTTATAGCCTTGCAGCCTTATAGCCCATAGCCGTATAGCCCTTGAAAAAAACGGAATTTGGTTTTTCTCTGTTATCATGGTATGGTATGCGGCGGTATGTTTTGGTTTACGGTGTCATGGCATCCCCATGATATGTTACGCCATGGTTAATAATGCTCGTGTTTCTTAATGACATGGTACGTCGTGCCGTGTTGATGTATGTCATGTTCGTCGTCGTTATGCTACATTGCGGTGCTATGCTATGTTATAACAACGTGTGTTTTGATATACCCAGTGATGTTATGATATGGTGTGTTATGTCGTTGATGTTGTGTCACAGTCTGCTCTGGTATGTTATGCGATGTTGTGTTATGATATACCGTGTCATGAGATCGTGTTGTTTTGTTCTGCCATGTCATGTTATTATATGTTTCATTATGTCATGTTGTGTTTTGTCGTGTCCGTCGAAACCGCGAAGCGGGACACCCAAGAGTCGGGGATCCTCACGACACTTTGGGGTCTGGCGGGTGCGGTATGCAGGATGGGGTTGGCCGCGCGTGAGGCGGCACACCCAGGATTCTCGGGGATCATCGGGACAATTTGGGGTGTGGCGGCCGCGGTATGCAGGGTGGGCTTGGCCGGGCGCGACTCGGGACACCCAGGATTTCCGGGGATCATCGGGACAAATTTGGGGTCTGGCGGCCGAGGTATGCAGGGTGGGGTTGGCCGGGGGACCTGTTCTTGAAATCTAACAAGCCCAACCTGTCGGGTGGGTTAAAACTGGACAAAAAAAACAAAAAACAAAAAAACAAAAAAAAAAAAAAAAAAAAAAAAAAAAAAAAAAAAAAAAAAAAACGGGAGGGGTCCTGGCCAATCTTGAGCTGATTTGGTGTTCGTCCCCTGTCTGGGGTCCCAACCAGTTCAGACCCCCGGCCGCCTCTAAGGTTCACGTGCGCCCACATCACCGAGATCCGACGTTGCAAGAGAACTGCAACATCGCAAAAAAAAAAAAAAAATGACGGCCAGAGCCCCAGACCCCATCTCTCCGCGTCGTTTTCCGAGTCGGATCGACTTGCGAGGGTCCCAGGACTCGAAGTTGAGCGAAAATGCCCACTGGGAAAAAATTGCAACGCTGGGATCTCAGGGATTCGCGCGTGAGTTTCCCGCGCCAGGCCGCGCGTAGGCGCCCTCGTCCTCCAGCTGCGGCGTGCCGCGCTGGCTCGCCCGCGCAACGCCAGCGCGCAGGGCCGCCGTGCCACGTCGCGCACCGCAAACGCGCGAACGGCGATGCAGACACGCTGACGGCGTGGTTCGTGATCTCTTGCAATTCTCCAGGGAGGGAAGCAGACCCCGACCCTGGATGAGGAGGAGGAGGAGGAGGAGGAGGAGGAGGAGGAGGAGGAGCAGCAAGAGGAGGAGGAGGGGGAGGGGGAGGAGGAGGAGGGAGGGAATCAACTGGCGCTTGCGGAACGGCCCCAGGAGTTTACTGCACGGCCCTGCAGGCTGCTCCGGGCACGCCTGCCCGGGAGTCTTGGAGAGGGGTTGGCTCACCCTGCGCTGCGGCTTCTCATCTGAAACCCTCTTTGGCTCTCAGAGAGCTGTCCAGGAAGACCCGGGGCGTTGCGCGAGTTCGGCGCCGCAGAAGTCGGATTCCCGCCGTCGCCGTGGACCAACATCGCCGCTGGCGTGGCCCTCGGGCCTGGGACCCGCCTCTCCTCCTCGCTCAGGTGCCGCCGCCTGTCCACCGACGTGGACCGCGCGTGCGCGGCGGAGCGGCACAGGACGAGGCTCGTGGAGGCCCTGCGGGAGCTGTTCCAGAAGCTCCACCGGGAGAGGGCCCGGCGCGGAGGGGCGCTCGCCGTCTGCTGCGAGCTCCTGCGCCTCTACGTGCAGCTGGGCCAGGCCTCGCAGTGCTCCTTCCTGCTGGCGGCCATGTGCCAGGTGCAGGGAGGGCTCGAGGGCGTGCTCTCCGAGCTGCCGAAGGCGCTGGCCGTCACGCTGTTCTTCCTCTGGGGCAAGCACTGCGTGCTGGACGGCAACGTCGCCGAGGCCGAGGAGAAGCTGGGCTGGGCGCTGGCGCACTGCCCGCCGTGCCAGGCCGCCAACCGGCGCGCGATTCTCGGATATCTCGTCCCGTGTCGACTGCGCATGGGGCGCTACCCGGCACCTAAGACGCTGCGGAGGCACAACCTGGAGAGGTACGAGGAGATCGCCCGCGCGGTGTCCCTTGGAGACGTGAGGCTCTTCAACCGCCAGCTCGAGGCGCAGGAGGAGGGCCTGATCCGGTCTGGCACCTTCCTGGTGGTGGAGAAGCTGAGGCTGTTGGCATACCAGAACTTGTGCAGGCGCGTCTACGACCTCGTGGCATCAGATCTGGAGGCGGCCGGGAGGCCGGAGTCGCGCCACAAGCAGGACCTGCGGCCCTTCGAGAGGGCGTTTGCGTGGCAGGACGGTTGCGACGAGGACGAGACGTTGTGCATCTTGGCAAATCTTATATATGTCAAGGCGATCCGCGGCTATCTGTCCGATGAGCATCGCAAGATCGTCTTCTCCAAAGAGTCGCCCTTCCCCCCGGCGGCGTCGTGGTGCGCGAGCCAGGGCGTGTAAAAAACGGCTGCCCGTGA